GCTGTGGGAGGCTGCACGGCTCTGGTAACCAGAAGCCATTCTCCCCCCCAGAGCCATCGAGTCCCTGTACAGGAAGCACTGTGCGGCTCAGGGGAAGCCACGCCCAACGGGCCTGGCCCCGGACCCTCTGCCTCCCGACAGCAGCGCCGAGTGGCACACGGTGAGGCCTCGGCTGCGGGGCGGGGGCTCTGCACCTTTTGGGTGGGGGCTGAGTGGCCTTCAGGACACAGCCTCTCCCCCTCCCTCCCCCAGATGGAAGAGCTGGTCTGTCTGGATGTGGAGGCCGAGGCCAGGTTGGAGAACTTGGATGCCTGTGAGCCGGGGCAGCCCCCAGCTCTGGTGAGTGGCGCCTGGCTGGTCCTGAGCGGCGGGAGCCCGCACAGCTCTTCCTCCCCAGGTCTCAGGTCTGGTGGGAATGGGGTGGGGGAGGGGTATGGATGGTGGGCCATGCTCCCCAGTGGAACCTGCGACCTCAGGGCTTCCCGCCGCTTCCCAGTGGACCTGCGCTGGCCTGCGCTCAGCTCAGCTCCAGGCCCATTCCCACCCCAGCCCGGCCCTGCGGGATGCAGGTGCGGGAGCAGGGCCTGACCTAGGTGTGGCCCGCAGCCTGCTGCATCCAGCCAGCCCTCTTTCCATCACGGCAACGGCCCTTACAACGACGTGAACGTCCCTGGCTGCTGGTTCTTCAAGCTGCCTCACAAGGTGAGCCAGGCCCCGGCCCCCACCTGTCCTGGGCCAACCCACCCTTGGCGAGCCCAGACAGCATGGTTTGGGCGGGGGAGCCCATGCTGCCCCTGGTAGGTGCCCCCACGTCTGCGTGGCTGGCAGGGGTGTGGGCTGTGTGCATTGGTGCTGGGAACAGTCCCTGCTGCTGGCGGGAGGAGCAGGCTGGCAGTCAGCCACCGGCCTCCTGTGTTCCCTAGGATGGTAACAGTTATAACGTGGGCAGCCCCTTTGCCAAAGACTTCCTGCCCAAGATGGAGGACGGCACCCTGCAGGCTGGTCCAGGTAGGGCCAGTGGGCCCCGAGCCCTGGAGATCAACAAGATGATCTCTTTCTGGAGGAACGCCCATAAACGGATCAGGTGGGTTGTATGAAAGGGCAGAGATGGCCTGTGTGCCCGCCCAGGTGTCTGCAACCCGGGGTCTTTCCCCTCTGCTGCTGGCTCAGCTGGGCTGAGGGCTGAGGGCTGGGCTGAGGGCTGAGGGCAACGTGTCGTCTCCCTCTCCTGCTTTCCCCAGAGGACCCAGATGGCCCCTCCCAGCTGTGGGGCCTTGGAGGACTGGGTCCTGTGGTCTGGATGGCCGACGCCTCCTGTGAGCAGCGTTGGATAGGCTGGTTCGGTCTGCTCTGGGAGCGTCTCCTCCATGTCTCGGGAGAGGGTCAGCAGCTGCTGTCTTAACTGCTGCATGGTGGGGCTCAAGCTTTGAGCGGGGCTCCCCTGTGTCCGTTAGTAGCAAGGGGCGCAGCAGCTCTGATGCTGAGCAGGCGCAGTGCTGGCTGGCACAGGGCGCTGGCAGTGCTGAGCCTCAGCCTGTGTCCCCACAGCTCCCAGATGGTGGTGTGGCTGCCCAGGTCCGCTCTGCCCCGGGCTGTGACCAGGTAGGTGGCCTGCGGGGTGGTCGTGGGGTCTGAGAACGGGGCGGGGAGAGGTGGATCTGCTGACACTCGCCTGTCCCTCCCAGGCACCCGGGCTACGACGAGGAAGGCCGCTATGGGGCCATCCTGCCCCAGCTGGTGACCGTCGGCACCATCACCCGCCGGGCTGTGGAGCCCACGTGGCTCACCGCCAGCAATGCCCGGGTACGTGTGGTTTGCACCGCTGGTGGGCCTGTGAGGATTTAGCAAGCAGCATGAACAGGAAGGTCAGGGGTGGCTGGGCGGGGCAGGGCGCTCCCGTGCCTGCTCCTGGCCACACAGGGCAGGCAGGCAGCTTAGAGGAAGCCAGGCCCCGGCCGCAGCCCAGCCGTGTGGTCGGGGCAGGGTGATTTGAGAACCGCCACCTCCAGAGATGCCTGGCACTTTGTCGACTTGGGGTCCAGAAACAAGCTGCGACCAGCTCTGGCCAGGCTGACCTTCCTCTCCCTGCAGGCCGACCGAGTGGGCAGCGAGTTGAAAGCCATGATACAGGCCCCGCCGGGCTACGTCCTTGTGGGTGCTGACGTGGACTCACAGGAGCTGTGGATCGCGGCAGTCCTTGGTGATGCCCACTTTGCCGGCATGCATGGTGAGCAGGGGCGGGGCAGGGGCTCGGCAGGGGCAGGGGCAGAAGCAGGCCAACTCCGGTAGGTGTTGCTGACCTTCCACTTTCCTCCCCCGTCCTCTAGGCTGCACAGCCTTTGGGTGGATGACCCTGCAGGGCAGGAAGAGCATGGGCACCGATCTGCACAGCAAGACGGCCACCACAGTGGGCATCAGCCGCGAGCATGCCAAAGTCTTCAACTATGGCCGCATCTACGGGGCTGGGCAGCCTTTTGCTGAGCGCCTGCTGATGCAGTTCAACCACCGGCTCACAAGGCAGGAGGCGGCTGAGAAGGCCCAGCAGATGTATGCGGTCACCAAGGGCCTTCGCCGGTGAGCGGCAGGCCCAAAGACCTGCTTCCCTTAGCTTGTGCTGTAGTGGGGTTAAGTGGTTCCCTCATGGGCTGCTGTCGCCATGCTCTGGGATCCCAAGCTCAGATGCCTACCTGAACAAGAGTGAGCAGACACACGCACAGGAGTTGGCACAGAGCAGTGAGGGAGGGCAGAGCAGCATGAGAATGGGGGTGGAGTGGACCGGGGGTGTGTGTGGGGGAGATAGCAGCATGGGAAGGCAGAGGCAGCCTGATCTGCCAGGTTGCAGCACACTGCTGCAGTTCTTGGGGTCTAGGTCTCCAGTGGTCTCCACGGGGCCTGGGGCCGTGGCACTTCACGGTGCGTCCTCTGCTGGGGCTGTCCTGTGTGTCTGCAGGGGGAAGGCAGGGGGCCTGTGGCATGGCCCAGAGCCACAGCAGCGGTGACAGGCAACACTGCCTCCAGGTACCGGCTGACGGAGGAGGGCGAGTGGCTGGTCAGGCAGCTCGGCCTCTCCGTGGACAGAAGCGAGGACGGCTGGATTTCCCTGCAAGATCTGCGCAAGATCCAGAGAGAGGCTTCAAGGAAGTAAGAATCTTCCATCTGGAGGCGGGACGGGGCGGGGGGCCAGCAGCCGGGGCACCGGCTCTCGGCTGAGATGCTCAAAGACAAAAGCCTGTCTGGTCTCCAGGTCACGCCGGAAGAAGTGGGATGTGGTGGCCGAGCGGGCGTGGATTGGGGGCACAGAGTCAGAAATGTTTAACAAGCTGGAGAGCATCGCCACATCCGACACGCCGCAAACCCCGGTGCTGGGCTGCCGCATCAGCCGGGCCCTGGAGCCCGCGGCCGTCGGAGGGGAGGTAACTTGCCATCTTGGAGCACACAGGACCACAGGGATAATAGGGGTCTCTGTGGACCCCTTCACAAGTTTCCTAACCAGAGCCTCTTCTGGGGGTCCTGGACCCCTGCCTGCCTCCGCCCCCTAGTTCATGACCAGCCGCGTCAACTGGGTGGTGCAGAGCTCCGCCGTAGACTACCTGCACCTCATGCTGGTAGCCATGAAGTGGCTGTTTGAGGAGTTTGCCATCGACGGGCGATTCTGCATCAGCATCCATGACGAAGTCCGCTACCTGGTGCGGGAGGAGGACCGCTACCGCGCCGCCCTGGCCCTGCAGATCACCAACCTCCTGACCAGGTACACGCGCTTCTACCGCACTGGAAGCCAGGGAAGTCCTAGGAGTGCCTTCACTCGCACCTCAAATACACCCCCCCCATCACGTGACTCAGCCCACACACCAAAGTGAGCACTTTCTCAAGAGCCAGAAGCAGTGTGCGGCCAGCAGAAAGCACTGCTGATGAGGAACGCAAAGAAACATACCGTGTGTGTCCTAACTACATGCCGATCTTGAGAGCCTGTTTGGAAACCATGACGGAATCCTCACGAATTCGTAAATAGCAGCACAGGGTCAGCACGCCCTGGAGACCGCCCCTCCAGGGCCGCACTTTCTACCCAGACTCTGACCCAGTAACTGGAAGTAACTTGTCTCCCCAGTGAGTCCTCATGGGAGGACCGTGTGTGGTGAACAGGCTCGCCTTCCTGGCTTCAGGGTGAAGGGGTGGGTAGGTGAGGGCAGGCCCTGTGGGGCCGTGTGCACAGCCTGGCTGAGCCAGGGACTCTCCTTTTCAGGTGCATGTTTTCCTACAAGCTGGGTCTGAAGGACCTGCCCCAGTCAGTGGCCTTCTTCAGTGCCGTGGACATCGACCAGTGCCTCAGGAAGGAAGTAACCATGGACTGCAAAACCCCCTCCAACCCAATGGGGATGGAGAGGGGATATGGGGTTCCCCAGGGTGAGTGGGCAGTGACTCTGTTGGGCCACAGACTTGGCATCATCCTACTCTTCCAGTCTAGCCCTTGGTGACAAAGCACCTTCTTAGGTAGTGCAAATGAAGAAGACATGGAATATCCAGCCGTCCTAGGGTTTATTGTCCAGGTCAAAGTGCAGCCTTAGGTGCAAAAAAGCTTGTGCAAAAGAGCCAACATGTCAGCCGGAGTTTGTACTTCTCCAGGCCAACCCCATGTCCTGAGCACGAGGTCAGCCCCTTCTCGTGTCCCAGGAGGCAGCTAACCACTTTGCACTGTCTTTCAGGTGAAGCACTGGACATTTACCAGATCATTGAACTCACCAAAGGCTCCTTGGAAAAACAAAGCCAGCCAGGACCCTAGCTCTGCCTGGAGGCTCTGAATTTGCTCCTGTGGAGCTTTTGTGGGCCGTGCAGGTCCCAGACTCAGGCTCTCACCTGTGCTCTTGCAGAAGGGCTGCCCGCAGCTAGCAGGACCTGCCAAGGGTCTAAGGCACAGCAGGGCTCACCGCAGCAGCCAACGTGCCAGCGGGCCGTGACCGTGACGTGAGGGCCCTGTGGGGTACGAGGGATCCTGGCAGAAGTCCCAAAGTTCACACTAACTCAGGCGTTTCACTTTTTCCTTTTCTTCTTGGCCGGTTCTTCGTCCTGTCCCCTGTGCTGTGGTGCAGCGACCTGAGAGGGGAGAGGGACGCTGAGCCGAGCTGCTGTGTGGCAGTGGAAATAAAGAGAAAAAACCCTGGCCCCGTGTCCACCTCCTTCCGCTCCGGAGGCGACTGCTGGAGCTTCTTCCCTTTGGACTTGACATTGAGGACCTTCACAGAAGGACAGGAGTGTGCATGTGTGCGCATGTGTGCGGGTGCCAGAAACGCAGGGATTTACTAATGCCACATGGACCCCTTTGATCCTGGAGACTGAACTCAGACCCTCACCCAAGCCAAGCCCACCAAGTTCTCGCCACTGACCCCTTACCAGCTCCCCATTACCTTAGGTGCAGGGAGGGAAAGATCCCTAATGGAGAAAGACTCTGCAAGGCCCTGCCACCCCATGGTTCCAGGGACACGGGAGACCCCACTGCAGGACACTCATCCGTTCCCATCCTCTTGCAAGTGTGCATAGTCCATTTTGCCCACTACCTTTGAGCCCTTCTTTGCTGGCTGCTCCCAGTGTGTGGATTGTGTGGGCATTGGCTGCTCCACAAGCAGCGGGCACTGACCTCTTCACTTCCATCCTCCACGTCCTCTCGGAGAATCGTGTCCAGGACGTCGCCTTTGATCTTGAAGTCGCGGGAGGTGCTGAGCTTCATGTGCTGCATGAGGTTCACCTGTGGCAAGGGGCAAGCACACTATCTGCACACCGCCCTGGCGGAGCACCTGACAAACCTTCAGTTCCAACCTACACAGCAAGCACACCCAACACACCCCCCCCACCCCCGACATACACACACACACACACACACTCACTCTCTCTTGCTCTCCACTGGCTTCAGTTAAGAAAACCAGGACTGGAGGTCACAGCTTCCCCTCACCATGGCTGGCCACACGCCTTCCACAGAGCAGCCTAGTCTATGAAAGGTGGTTTACCTTGGTCTTCTTAGAAAGGTGGATGAGAAACTTCTCATACTGCTCGATGGCAAAGACAAGATTAGGGATGGGCTTGGTTTCCCGAAGAACTCTGGCCTACAGAGAGCAGAAGTTGGGTCTAGGTTCCATCTGCAATTTCTTCCAAGCTGTTTTCAGAGCCATGCCTGACTTTGGCAAAATCTACCTCCAAGCAAGTACCATTTTACTTCTGTGCCAGTGGTCTAAGACTGGGCAGTTTAATTTCAAATGACCCCAGTGCCAACACATTGCACTTCATCTTTCTAAAGTTCCAAAGTGGCACCTATGGACTGGCCAAGGAGCACAGCCATTTGCAGAATGTCCTAGATACACGTGGACCAGAGCTTCACGTCTGCTGGGCAGGCGCAGTACCACTCAAGCCATGTGCCCCCACCTGGTGACTTCCTGCCCTGCAGCTGACACTAGCTCCTTTTCTAGCTGGCACGCGGTTTTCACCGCTCTTTCTTCCCTTGGGTTGAATTATGAGCTATAGATCAAATGTTCCCACATGCGTTCTTGAGTACTTCCCAAACCCCGGGGACACTGTGCCAGTTACACACCATCCTGGAGACAGCTCTCTAGTGACACTGGCAGTCTGCACTGGTGTTCACCAGTGTATCCATGCCACTTTCCTTTTAAAATTTTGAGACCCATCCTGTACCTAGACCTTAACAAGCTCGACTGTACCACCTGTTTCCTGGAGCCCATGCCCTGCACCCAGTCCTTGGATCCTTTAGGGGTGCCCTTCCTGGATACAACTGTGACAACCACCATCAGGAAGGTCGGGAGCTCACCATGGCAGCCGTTTTCTCTTTCTTCTCATCTGTGCATTTCCCACTATTGCTCTTATTCTAAAGGAACAGAAACACTGTCATTCCTTGAGGCAGCTCTCAGGACAGGGGCCCGTGTGCGCAAACAGCGCCTCGGAAGCAGGCCCCTTGTGCGGTGTGGGAGGCCGGCCAGGTGCTTGCTCTTGGAGATGACGTGTAGCAAGCGAGGGCAGGCCCGCTGCACTGTGCTGCCCCAAAGAGCCTTACAAGATGGTTCAAATGAGGACTGAGAGGAACCCCAGTTCTATGAGAGTCCCATGGTGCCTACAATCCAGTGTAATAGAGCGTCCCCTCCCCACAGGGCCACCCCTGGCCCTGGATGGTCCGTTGTGTCCTGTGCCCATCCACCGACAGGTGCTGATGGCATGGAAGGGAACTTTCCACACGCTTAGCCCAGGGACTTGAAGGTTCATTGGTGCCGCTTCTGCTCACTCACCTGCACGTAGGAAATCAAAGTATAGCACAGCGGGGTGAGGTGTGAGCCGGACAGCTTCACCTGCAGCACAGGAGGGACAGCAGTGTACCAAGAGCCACTCCAGGCACAGGAGAGAGGCCAGCGGACTAGGCGTGACAGCCCTGCCCCGCTCCTGGCCAAGACAGTAAACTCACCAGCTTTTCCATAATCTTGGGAATTCCTCCCGAGCTCCGGCACACCTGGAGATACTAGGGACAAGAGAGCCCAGCTTTAGCAGACGACTGTAGGAAACCAGGGGCGACTAAAGGGACGAAGACATAAGGCCCCGCCCCGTAGCATGCACGCCTCCATCCAGCTAGCAGGCAAAGGAGCTCTGTTCCTAACTTGCTCTGCTCATTGCTTTATAAGTCCTTTAGCCAGGCGTGGGTGGCTCACGCCTGTCATCACAACTACTCAGGAGGTTGAGATCAGAGGACTGTGGTTCAAAGGCAGCTGAGGCAGGAAAGTCTGTGACTCTTATCTCTGACTAACCACTAAAAAGCCCTAAGGGCTGTGCAAAAGCAGATTAGGGTTATGGCACAGGCCGTTCCTTCCTGGCCTGTGCATATTCCTGCTATCTATGAGCGAACTGAAATGGAAGCACAGTGTGCAGAGATGTGGGCAAGGGCTGTGGGGGCAGCAGGGGTGGGGGAGGAGGGGGCAGTCTCGTGGGACTCACGTATCGGACGAGGGCAGTGAGTGTGGTATACATCTTGCACAGACCCTTCAGCAGGGTGTCCACGCAGCTGCCCGATGGCAGGGCCGTCTGTGCGAGCTCGTGGAAACACGTGAGCAGCGTACCCAGCTGCATGACGATGCCTTTCTCAGCGGCGTAACTTGGTGGGGCTGCCTGAGAAGAGGCTTCCTCTGAAGAGAGATGAAGTCGTCACAGGTCAGCCAGTATCTTCCAGTTAGAAGTACAGGGGCCAGAAATGGACTAAAACCCCTTCCCATTAACTAAGCAGCTGGCAGGCGGGCGCATTCACCACGCTGGAACACCACTAGCCTACGTGTCACAGGCATACAGGAGGGAGAAGAGGTGAAAGCAAAAGGCACAGACAACAAACCCACAATAAAACAGAACCCCCACCCAAAAAAACCTTGAGAAAGATGGCCATCCAGGAAAAGAGCCTCTCCAGAGCATACCAGAGATGAAATGTTAAGTATACAGAACAAGGGAATGCTGAGCATACAGGACAGAAGCCTCAGACCAGTAAGCTACTGCAGCCGTGATGGAGATCAGTATAGAGGCTCCTCAGAAAAATAAAAACATAGAACTCCCAATAATCCAGCCACACCAATTCTTAATGTATACCCCAAAGATGCAAAGCCAGCAGCTTACTATAGAGACTCCTGCACCTCTGAGTTCACTGCAGCACTGTTCACAGTAACTGAACTATGGAATCTGCCTATGCGCCCACCGACGGATGAATGGATAAATACAGTCTACGCACACAATGGAGTTTCACTCAGCTATACAAATGAAAGTACATCATCCGCAGGAAAGTGGATGGAAGTGGAGCTCATCACTTACAGGAAATAAGCCAGTCCCACAAAGACAAAGCAGGAAATCCAAGCCTAAGACAGGAAAGGGAGGTAGGAGGGAAGGGAAAAGGTTTGGGGAAGAGGAGGGAATGAAAGCAAGAGGGGTGAGTGTGACCTTGATCTGCGTTAAGTCCTGGGCGCTGCCCCCCCCAATCAGGGTCAACAACGAACACCCGGAGATGTGGGCCCAGGGTCTGCCTTTCTGCAGAGCCCAGCTTAGGTTTTGGTTGTCTTTCCTCTCATTACAATTCCTTGAGTTCCACCGAAGCCACCTTACCTGACAGGGTTTCCTGGCTTGGTAGTCCTTTAAGGTTGGTGATCAACCAGTCCACTTCTTCTAGGACCTTCTCAGCCTGACTCAGGACAAGCAACTGTGAAAGGAAAGAATGTGAGCTTGGCTGTGAACACAGCCTCGAGAGTGGGGGCAGCCCTGGCTTCTCGGCGAGCATGGGCTCGGGACAGAAGCCACGGTGCTGTCACATTAGCAGAGAGGAAAGGATGGGCCAGGTCAGGGATGGACATGGACTCACATGAGCACAGCGGGAGGGCCGGCCGGGGCAGCACTTACGCACGCAGTGGGAGCAGCCGTCTTCAAATTCACTATTGCAAAGTGGTCACTTTTCTCCACTTCACAGTCCTGGAGAGGGAGGGGTAAGATCTCACAGCACAGGGCACTGCGAGTCCCGCCCCACACAGGATGCCAATGGCTGCGGACTCTGCAGTACCTCGTCTATGTCTCCCAGCTGCCCATGGATGTCCTGAGACAAGTCCCGCAGCAGCGTGACGGGGCTCTTGTATAGCACGTGCAGGCTGAAGAGCAGGTTCATCAAGCTCTTGCAAAATGGAGCGTCCTCTGGAGCGGGAAGGGAAGAGAAGGGGAGAGGAAGGGAAGCTGTGCTGTTGGGCCTCCACGGTACATCTGACAATGCGGTGGCCACGTCACGGGCACAACATGGCAACACCAACCTCTGTGTCCAGACAAATACCTCCACTGCCCCAGTGCCATTTAACGCATCCACCTGTGCTTTTTACTGGTTCTAGGCCCTGGGGAGTAAACACTGTGACCAAGCACCTACCACTACCCTGGAGACCCTCCCTGCAAAGAAACTGCTACTCCGACGACACCAGACTAGCTAGCTCTGATTCTGGATTTCATCTCAATGGAACTGCAGTGCTGTACAGCATTCTCCTCTGAGTCCCACACACCACACAGTCCCTGCATGCATCCTGTGGAGGGCAGTGGAGGTCTGTTTTGACCTATGAATATAGTACTGCAATTAACAGTTCTCCATATACTTTTGTTCAAAGAACTGCTGGGTCACAGGCGTGGGTTTGATTGTAGTAGCTTTTGTCAAGCAGGTTTCCTGCCTGTTGTACTAATTTACACCTCCACCAGCAGCAAAGGAGAAAGTCCCCAGGCTAGTCCTGAACTCATCATTCTCCTGCTGTCAGCCTCCTAAACCCCGAAATCACAGGCATGCATCACCGCAACCTGCCTACGTTCTTGCGAACACTCTGTCACGAAGGCCCTGCTGGTGAATAGTTGGGAATGCCCTTTCTTCTCTCCAAACAATTCCACACACAGCCTTTAGGACGTGAGATGACAAACTTACCCCTGCTGTTTTCCTTGCAAATCTTACACGTCCAATTTAACATCTGCAAAAACTGAGAGATCAGATATTAGACACATTGTCACAAAGTCCTAGACCTTTCCAAGCCAGTAAGTGACCTGCCGCAACATGTGCCCAGGTGACGGGGCTGTCAATCTAAGTGACAATGGGAGTAACAAAAGCCTAAAATTCTGAGACGTATGAATACTGTTCTCATAATACAGCAGACGGCTTATTCTCAACGACTCTGCCCTCCTTATGGGCTCAAGTCCTAGGGTCTGTGTCTGTGTCTTCCCGGTGCTGTCACACATGGCCCATGTGGGGGTCTACACCAGAGTCCTCCCAACCAAGCTTCCCGCCGTGTGCCTGTGCACACCGCTGCCTCTGCAGGGGCGTCAGCGTGTGCACATGTTCGTGCTCTGATGGAGCCCCCTGAGGTCGCGGCCTTCTCACAGCAAGAAACATGCAGACCAGGCCAGAACACAGCTATCCACAGGGCTGCATTCTAGTATCTGGGTCCACCCAGCACTGGTGCCTGAGACATCACACAGGAACGCGGCTTGGTCCTTGTGAATGCTGAGCCACGGATGGGTGGTTACCTGAGGAGAAGAAGGTTCCAGCAGCTTGGACAAACTGGCGAGGACGGTGACCAGCAGCTGGGCTTCTTTGCTATTAAAATCCTCCTCTCTGCTGCTGAGTAGGTTCAACAGGGACCGCTGAGAAGACAAACAGCAGCAGACACGTGTCTCAGGGACAAGGCGCTGAGCCAGAGACTTGCAGGAGCGGGACAGAACCACTGAAAGCTGCAGAGGTCCGCGAGGTCCTCCATGAGAACCCAAGGACGCTCTTGGAGACGGCGGACTCCTGCACTCCCTGCCTGGTGCGCACTGGGAAGCAATTGAACCACACTCGACTTCTGGTGGCTCTCACCGCCATCCAGAACAGCCAGCCCTTCTGGGGCGCCGGTATGTCACTGCTGCTTCCTCAGCCTCCCTCCAGCCAAAGCTGGGGTAGCAATTTGTTCAGTTTTGCCTCCGCTACACCCCCACTACAGCTCCTGGCAGCCTTTAATTTGCGAAAGAAAACCCCGTGATAGAGTCTCACGCTATGTTTTTGACAACCAAGGGTTAGAACCAAATAGACCTCATTGCTGGTCTATGCAGTCTGACCAGAATGGCGCCTCGCAGGCCCCCGGGCCAGCACGCAGCTGGCGAGACAGCCACCTGGAACTGTCGGATCTGGAAGGCAGCCCGCTGAGTGATGGGGACGTCCACGCCGTCCTCTTCGTTATCTGGGACATAAGGAACGGAAAAAAATTCTTCTTTGAGGGCTGGGAAGTTGGCTCAGTGGTAGAGTGTTTGCCTTGCATGCCTGAGGCCCTGGGTTCAATTCCTCAGCACCACATAAGCAGAAAAAGAAAAAAAAGCCGGAAGTGGCACTGTGGCTCAAGTGGTAGAGCGCTAGCCTTGAGCTGAAGAGCTGAGGGACAGCGCCCAGGCCCAGAGTTCAGGACCCACGACCGGACCCAAAAAAAAAATATTAAAAAAAAAAATTCTTCTTTGAAATTGTCCCCCACCCCTCCACACACTTTCAGCCGTTAAAACTGTAGAGTCAAAAAGGTTGCAGGAAGGTTTGAATGTGTTTCTAAAACTAAAGGATTTTTGTTTTTTGTGTGCCAGTTCTGGGGCCTGTCCCTTAGAGCTTTCTCACTCAAGGCTGGTGCTCTACCACCTGAGCCACAGCTCCACCCACTTCTACCTTTTAGGTAGTTCATTAGAGATTGAGAGTCTTACGGACTTTGCTGCTCAGGCTGGCTTTGAACCATGATCCTCAGCTCTAAGCCTCCTGAGTAGCTAAGATTATAGCTGTGACCCGCCAACACGCAGCTAGCTACTCTGCAGCTCAACACGCTATCCCATGAGATCCCATTTTCCAGTCACCACGGCTGAATGCAATGCAGAGGCACCCCGCGTGCACTTGGCGACCCTCCCCACCCCACCATCCAGGGTGACAGGCAGTTGGAGAGCACGGGTGCTCACCCAGAGCTCTGAGGAACTGCTGCACCCTGGGCTGGAAGAACTGGCGCACAGCGCAGAGGATCTTCTCCAGGCCCTCCAGACACATCAGTGAGATGCTCTTCCCCCGCTCCTTCTTCCCCGACTCTTCCACAGCCGTGGGGATGGAAGTGTATCTCCACAACAGGACCCTGCGGTGGGACAAGGGCAGTCACACCTAGTGGGGCTTCAGTGAAGGTAGATCTCATCATAAAAGCACTGCATGTCAAGGTTTCTTTCCAACCATTATTACACATGGTATTTTTTTTTCTCTCCTAAACTCAGGGCCCTGCTGTGGATAGGCAGGCCCTCTATCACTTGAGCCACACACTCGGCCTACCTGGAACTATTTCTTCAGTTTCAATTTCCACTTTCGCACTGTTAGTAGGTAAATAGAAAGACTTATTTTTATACCAACCTTGTTAAACTTAAGAGGATGTTAGATCTTTAAGAAACTCCTGTGGCATTTGTCTGGTGATCCTGTCTGCGCATCAAGTTTTCTCCCTTCCCAGCCTGCCTGCGGCATTTCCCTTCCTGCCTTCCTGGGACAGAGACCCGCTAGGCTAAGCACGCATGGGGCTGCTCTTCCATCATCCGACCCGCTGATTACAGAGACAGGGTTAGTTAGAATTAAGGATCTGTCTATTTTTCCTTCAGTTTTTATCATTGTTTTTGCCTTAGCATCTTGAATCTCTTGTCAGACGTGTGTCCACTTAGGGTTTTGTCATTGTGTAATAACGTCGCCCTTCTTTCTGGTACTACAGTATGCTTTAGTGTACGACTAGTCTCAATAGCGGTGGGTGCGTTTCACCCGCAGCCGGGCCTGCAGGCTGGCGCACAGGCGTGGGCTGGAGCCTTACCGTGTGATGTCGCAGAGGCTTTGGAAGATCTTGCTGGGATTGTGGCTGTCGGGGCCACCCACGTGCCCTGTCTCCTTGAGCTGCTGTGCCTTGTACAGAGCCACACTCACTGCGTAGCGCATGAACTCAGTGCTGCACCTGAGGACCGACAGGCTCTCCTCATGGCTTTGGGTGCTGTCCCTAAGGAGAGAGCGAGAGCCTCACCTGCTGTCCCTCAGGAGTGAAAACACCTCCTCTGCCATCAGGATCTAGAGCCAGGCTCTCAGGACACTGGGCTCAGGCAGCCACACCAGCTCCTGCACAATCACCTGCCCCTCTTCTCCCTCCCTTCAGCCTCTATACCCAACAAAATCTGAATGCCACACCTAGCCTGGAGGTTTCCGGTTGTCCCTTCATTAACTCAGCTCCTTGCCTTTATTTTTTTAATCTGTTGCTGGGTTCAAACCATTCAAGAGGGATTTTCTACAACCGGGCTGGGATCCGTTCCTATCTTTTCATTTGTTGCCCAGTGTTTACGACTTAGCTTTGATAATCTGAAGGACTTAAGATTCCTGCCTTTGGCTGTCCAGCTTTCACTTTAAGAAAATTAAAAACCTCCTATTTCTCAGGGCTACAATAAGTACTGCAAGTCCACCCTGGTAGCAAGGTAAAGCAGGAAGACATTATTTTTATTGAGCTGCAGCCTTTTTGGGGGGATGGGGTGGGGTGGGGTTTGAACCCAGGGCCTTGCCCCAGTCCTTTTTGTTCTTTTTTTTTTTTGGCCAGTCGTGGGGCTTGAACTCTGGGCTTGGACGCTGTCCCTCAGCTCTTCAGCTCAAGGCGAGCGCTCTACCGCTTGAGCCACCACGCCACTTCTGTTTTTCGAGTGGTTTATTGGAGATAAGAGTCTCACAGACTTTCCTGCCTGGGCTGGCTTTGAACTGCGATCCTCAGATCTTAGCCTCTTGAATAGCTAGGATTACAAGCATGAGCCACCGGTGCCTGGCTCTTGTTTTGTTTTTGAGGTAGTATCTCACTAACTTTGTCCAGTCGGGTCTCAAACTTGTGATCTTCTGCCTCCATCTCCCAAGAAGCTGGGACTATAGATATGTGCCACTACACTGGGCTGACTTGTTGTTTCTACACCCTCAAGTAAAATCTTACCTGAAAAGTGCAGTGAGAAGATCAGACACAAATTTCATAGACAAAAAACTCTCATGTGTCTTGTTAGCCATTTTGCTTTTGCCTTTACTGGTTTTTTCATTAACGATGTCAGAGAGCTTCTTGTAACACATAAATAAACTCAGAATCTCCTCAAACTTATTCTTACTGTGTAACAGGAGGAAAGGGGCCATGAAGAACACGTTAGCATATGCTGGGTTTGTTTTACGCTCAGTAAATGTTCTATGCATTTGCGAGTAGATGGACCTTCACTAGCACAGCAAACCCAGACCACACCAACCCACTGCAGCTAATTTTCTTGTTTACAACGATTAAGGCAGAGTGTGAAAGTCCCATACTGCCTCTAACCCAGTCCCGCTACTAAAACCAGGCATACATGAGCTCCAGGCTGGGAATTTTGAATAAACATGGAAAGCTGCTAGATGAAAATGCAGGCCTGACTAGAATTCACACTGGTGTTCTCCAGTGGGAAAACCATACAAAACCCTGTGGCTAGAGAGCCACGTAGGAGATTCTGTAAGAGTGTGAGGCCTACACTAGTTATGTATATAACTAGTTATGTAGGAGAAACAATCACACCTGGTCTCAGGTAAGGCCGTACCTGAAATTGCTTGTGTAGAAATTATATTCTATCAGAACTTCGCAGATGCCCATCACGAGGTGCGCGCACATGTGATTCTTGATGCCGGTATCAGTGCTCTGAGAAAAATCTGCTGATTTATCCTGAAGGACATGTGGAGAAAGGCATGTGGGAAAGCTACGTACTACCACCCACTCCCACGCTGCCACACAGCCAGGCCCGCCTGCTCACCAGTTCAAAGTCTTCTAGCTCACTCTTAACCATCCTACTGGTAATGGACTCCAGCATGTCATCTAGCTCGTGGTAGACACCCTCTTCCTCCTCATCCACGTCTCGTTGCAGGGGCAGCACTGTACTCTTGTACCAGGACAGACAGTGCTGAGTGCAGCACAACAGGTGGTCCTGCGGAGGAAGACAAGGAGATCAAGTCCACTCGCCTTGCTTTGCACACAGCACCTTTTGCTTTAGTCCTGGCCAGCTCTGAACCACAAACTTCTGACCTCTGTTTCCCAAGGATCTGTGATTACAGGTATGGACCACCATGCCTGCCTTGTTCTTGTAACTATTATCTAGCTCCCAACTGCAATCTTCCTATCTTCACTCCTCAGTAGCTGCAGTTACAGGTATACACCATGTCCACCCAATAAATAATAATATTCTTAGGTATAAAGGGATAGGTTATGAAGCTGTTAACAGCAAGTAAGAAAGTTTAAGTTACTTGTAAGTGCCACAGATTAAATCCATTGGAAATAACAAAATGGTAAAAATGTAAACGAGGGGCTGGGAAGGTGGCTCAGTGGTAGAATGCTTGCCTCGCATGCATGAGGCCCTGGGTTCCATTCCTCAGCACCACATAAGCAGAAAAAAGCCGGAAATGGCGCTGTGGCTCAAGTGGTAGAGCGCTAGCCTTGAGCTGAAGAGCAGAGGGACAGCGTCCAGGCCTAGAGTTCAGACCCCACGACCGGACTACCCCCCCCCCCAAAATGTAAACGAACAGAGACGTTTTATCTATCTCTTCTGACAGAAGTAGCCCTGAACGTAGCTAACACTGCAGAACAAATCGTCAGATGTGTTAGCTCTGTTCAGATACACACAGCCCTGGAGCCAAGCTATGGACTGACACTGTGCAGTTCCCGAGTACCAAGGTTATTGTAAAGGTAGGGGTTTATGTTGAAGGCACCTTTGGGAGACCAGCACATCAGAGATCTAAGTTGGCACAGAAGGCACTAAGAGACAACCTCTGCCCCTAGCCACCAGGTGGAGGTCCATTTGTCCCCCTTCCTGCCTTTCCAAAGCTAGACAATGAGAACAGAAGAACCACCTTACTCCCTCTGAATAAGCTAAGAGTGCCCATGACTCACCTAGATCGTATACTCCCTCCAGACTAAGGAGGGGGCTGCTGAGGTCACCTGCTCCCAGGTGACCCCTCCATCTTAAAGCCCAGTCATCTCACATATATAATCACACAGCCATAACAGGAAGGCCAGATGCTCCTGGGGTGGGGGGCATATCACATTTAGCAAGATGGCACCACGGAGACCAGTCCACAGATCCGGGGTGACAATGGGTCAGAAATGAAGGACAGGGAAAGATCCACAGGGAAAAGCATCTATGAAGATCAACCTTCTTCCCACCAGAGAGAATAAAGGTTCTAAGAGGAATGCAAGTGTTACCAGTGGTTCTTGCAGAGAGATCTGATTCCCTTGCATCAGAACACAAGCTTCCACTTTCAGAGGCGGCAGCACATCAGGTTTTGGCTCGTAGTACTGTTTTAACTGTATGCAGAGAACAAGGAGGAGAACCATCAGAGCCTGTGAATGCCCCACTTTCTGAACTACTGAAACCAACCCAGTACCTTTACCAGCCAGTGCCTTGTAACGAGGCGCTGGCCCACAGGAAAGGGCAGCAAGGCTGATCTTGTTCCAGCTTGTCCGCATCCTTCCACCTTTGCCTCAGGCACAGAAAAGTTAAGGATTGTAGGATCCTTGCCCTATACTTCTCCACACCAGTTCTAACCCTGTGCAGGCAACCGGCATTTTCAGTATAACCTGCTGGCTTGAGTCCGAGATTCCAGTACCACCACTGATTACTGATGTTGAGAAACTTACCAGTATCTTCTCTTTCATTACAGAAGTAAGCATATAGTTGCTGAACAAGGATTCTTAGTACACTACATGTAAAGTGCTTCAACACTAGTTAGCGTTCACGAGAGCTAAGAAAACTGCCTGGCCATCACCCACTCTGAAACCTTCTTTTCTGAAGTCAGCAGACTGGTCCTTATATTCATCTAGGTCAGGAAGCAGTGCTCCAAGTCTTTCCAAGATCATTTTTTATTCTTGCTAGGTGCCTGGATACTGATCAGTTGACCATTATAGTTTGAAAAACCTATATAGCCAACAGGCTATACATTTTATATAGGGTCATGACAAGCCCCAGGGAAAGCTTTTTGGATAGCAAAAGACCTTCCAAACCCCCCCACATATCTGAGACCTAAGTTCAAATGGTGGTGCTTCTGAGTTATCTCTAAGCAGAAGAGACAGGGGAGGAGAGGGGAAAGTAAGAGCAAGTGCAAGAGAAAGAGCGCAAGAGAGCACAAGCCAGCACTTACTTCCATTTCAACAGAATGAGGCACTAGGGGTCTAGAATAATAAAGACAAGTGAATTATGTCTCAAGCTGTTAAAAAAGGTTCAAGTTAATGCTTCATGAATACTGTTGAGAGCAAAAGGTTTTACACATGACGCTTGTTCTCATCGGAACTCTCGATGGTCTCTGAAGTGTTTCCTAATTTTAAAATCTTCTCTAAGTGAGGAGTCCAGAAAATGTCTTGGTGGAGACCCGTGCATCTGTCAGAGGACAGCAGCTGCCAAGCACAGATGAGCCACAACCATCCAGAACCGGGAGGCCCCCAGGGCGTGCGCCCTCCCAGCAGGACCGCCCCCTGCACGGCATGGCCCGCCCCTCACATCCTCATAACCTACCAGGGTACTCGCTGAGAATTACTTTATAGTGCCCCAAATCTGGAGACTGACGTGGGTAGGCTGCACGAAAGCATGTCTTACCTGTGAGAGAAGCGACTGCATGATGGAGCTCGCCAACTGAGAGTTCCTTCGAAGCACGTCACAGAAGCCCTAGGAGCGATCAGACTGCTTTATCCTGTGTAGCTGGGATGACAGGCACATACTGCCACGGCCAGCTTTCTTTTTCCCTTGAGAGGGAATCTCAAACTTCTTTTTGCCCCCTTGGGTAGCCTGAAACGATGATCCTCCTGATCTCAGCCTCCCATGTAGCTGGAATCACAGATCTGAACCACCACACCCAGCTAGCAGCTGAAATGGGATCTTGTGAACTTTTAACCTGGGCTGGCCTCAAATTGTGATCTGTCTAGGTACAACAGTTATTTGTATTTTCTGTAACGAGCCTGGAAAATCCACTTCAAGACACATTCTGCAGCGCAGTGATTTATTTCACAAAATCAAATGAAGCAAGCTATCACAGCTCTTCTCTGAGTAACGTCCACTTAGTCTCCTTGCTGGGCTGTTTCAAGATCTCCATTCCTACCACGGACCCTCTATGCTGATATACCCAGCATCCTCACACAGAGTCCTCCATGTTCCCACTCCCAATCCCAACAGCTGAGCTATGCACCAGCCACCAGCTAACTGAACTGGTCCGTCTGTGTGCTGCTACTGTGCCATCATTAAAACTGCATGACTTACAGAGAAGTGGAGCTGTGGCTCAAAGTGGTAGAACACTAGCCTTCAGCAAAAAGAGCTCAGGAACAGTGCCCAGGCACAATCAACAAAACAACCCTACATGATTTAATCAGACCTGCAAGCCAGATGTTTTATAAAAACGAAGGTGAGTGTTGTGGGAAGACCTGACAAAGGTAGGAATCTACATGGCTGCCGAGCTGGAGGTGAGAGACAAGGTGAAGAGAAACATTGAAAGGTTCTGAGCTGGGTCTGTATGTGACGTATCTCAAATGCCTTTATACTACTTTAGGGAAACAAAACTTTGAAAAGCAATAAATTACGTTTATGGCTTGTACGAGTTACACATGGGGGAAACTTAGTGTTATATTAAAAGACTGGGAAAGTTAACAGTCCACTTCAGTCTCTTAAACTGAACCAGCTATAGTTTAGAATTCAGACTCACTGTCACTGTCTACCAGTCAGGGCATAAGGCCTAGCACAAGAGCTTGTACCTTCATCTCAGCAAAGAAGGACCACACAAGGACCGAGGCGGGGGAAAGAGTTCCCCATCCCTCCGTGTGTGACTTACCTCATAGAGCATGAGGCGGACGTCGGCCTGTTGTCCTAAGCAGCGCCGCAAACTGTCCATGATCTCAAGGCAAAAAGTTTCATTGGCAACAGAATTGTAGCGGCTGTGGACATCCACACGAACCTGGAAGGAAGGGGAGTCAGTTGGGGTGTAACTTGCCAGCCTCTCCTTTAAGGAGTGAAGCCGACCTGTGCCCCTGGCGAGGTCAAGACACTTGCCCCACTTTCACTACGGCTTTCACTACGTAGAAACGCCGCACTGAGGCAGACAAGGATTTCACCAAAGAACCTAGCACCACACTTCCAGGAATCCCAGGGGGGTTTAGAGATGGACAGGGCCAAGAATGGATATCCTCTGTTCAATTTAAAATACAGGAGGGCAAGTGAGACCAACAATTCCCAGGCATCTAGAGAGGTGGCTGCTAGCACACCATGTCAAATCCTACTTCTACCCTTCACTGACCATGGCCTTGCACGGCCTCATTTAAAATGGGGATAATAAATAATATGCACAAATGGCTCCTGCTGCTCTTTTTTGTTTTTGTCAGTCATGGGGCTTGAACTCTGGGCTTGGGCGCTGTCCCTCAGCTCTTCAGCTCAAGGCAAGCGCTCTACCACTTGAGCCACAGCGCCACTTCTGGTTTTCGAGTGGTTTATTGGAGATAAGAGTCTCCCGGACTTTCCTGCCCCGGCTGGCTTTGAATCTCGATCCTCAGATCTCAGCCTCCTGAGTAGCTAGGATTACAGGCATGAGCCACCGGCGCTCGGCTCCTGCTGCTCTTAACATTTAATCGGTGTCCTATGTTGTAGACACACATTTTACAGTTATGCTAGAGCAATAAAAGATTCCCAATGGAACTATAAATGTCTGTAAATCATATCATTTAAATCAGAAAGACAATTTTATGGCCCCAAGGCCCAGATTATCAAACTATTGTAAAAATTTTATTTTCTCAGACTTGTAAGGTTTAATTGACATACATGTGGTAAAATAAGTTTTAGAATGGGTTATAAAATAGTATCTGGCCTCAGAAAATTACTGTGAGGATTAAATGATAGTAAATGTAACAATGAACCCCCAACACCACTATGTAACTAATGTAAGCCAATGAATAAAAAGATACAAAAAGATTAAATAGTACAAAGCACTGATGTAATGTTTAATACAGTGCTATCCAATAAAATGATATACATAAATGCAAGCCACATATGTAATTTTAAGTTTTCTAGTAGCCACATTTAAGATATAAAATGAGCCTAGTGGCAGTTACCTATGCCTGTAATCCTAACTACTCGGGAGGTTGAGATCTGAGGATCACAGTTTGAAGCTAGTCCAGGCAGAAAGTTCTACAGACTCTTAATTATCAGGCAAAATGCCACACTGGGAAGGAACATGGCTCAAGTGACAGAGCACCAGTCAAGACCAAAACATTTTACAGAGAGTATGAAGGTGTGAGTTCAAGTACCAGTACCCACATACACAAAAAACAAAATGAAGCAGGTGAAGTAGATAAGACTATCGACTTCACATATACAATATTGTCTCAAAATTATTACATTATGTATTACATAATAATTAACCTATTATCATAAAGTAATTCTTCAGGTAATTACGTTATTTCATACTGAATCTTCAAAATCAGTGTGAACAGCTCAATGGGTAGAAGTTGCTAGTGCGGCAGCCCCAGCGAGGCTGCCCCATCCAGCACACCGCAGTCTGCCACTGCTGACAGTTCATACTGTCATCAGGGAACACGGCTTCTTCGGGCTTGCTGCACCAGCACCCAACACTTCTATGGCTGTGGCTGGCGGGGCAGTGCTTACCTGGCTGGCGCCGATAGACTGGCTGCACTGCGAGGAGGCCAGGCTGCCCAAAACCTTAAAGTTCTTCAGCAGCAACAAAAACCCCGCCACTGCAGACTTCCGGGCATCAAGCTGGCTGGCTCAGAAAAGAGACATTGAATAGCACGGTACAGGCTAACGACGACACTGAGCTCAGACGACAGACTCGTTCTGCCATGGGCCTCTGTTGGAGCTTTGGAAAGCACTCATCTTGCCTAAGCCTCATCTGTTAGGGGGGACTGTGGTACTTTTCACCTCGCAGGGCCACTCTGCAGGCAGATGAGAAGTGGCACGCTACGTGTGGAGCGAGCAGGTGAGACTTGGCGATGGGGCTGTGAACATGTGCTGGCTGGGAACGCACGGGACCCTCCCGTGAGCAGGACACTACACACTGGTGCCACCTCAGGCCTGGACGTACCTGGCAAACATGGCTTTCCGAAGAACGAGGATGAGGGAGTCTCTCACTGCCATGCTGACTTTGAGAAGCGGCTGAGGAGGAAGCCCCGGGTAGAAGAAGAGCAGTTAACTCATTAGGGGTTAGACCAGCAGTCCATACAGTGCTGTCAACACCAAGACTCGGATGCGGCTTTACGCACGTCTCACTACTATGTTTTCTAGGAAGAATTAGCAGTACACACTGGGGCTAGCTGTCAAGGCCTTTGTAAATTCATCAAGGAATAACTTCATCAAGATGAGGAGAGTCAAGGAGAGAAGTGATGCTGAGGAGCCAGCTGGAATGCTCTCTAGCTCAGAGCTGTGGACCTTTTACAACCAAACTCTACATTTCTGACTCAAAGGAAAGAGGATTCTTTGGCTGGGAAGGTGGCTCAGTGGTAGAGCGCTTGCCCTGCATGCATGAGGCCCTGGGTTCGATTCCTCAGCACCACATAAGCAGGAAAAAAAAAAGCCGGAAGTGGTGCTGTGGCTCAAGTGGTAGCGTGCTAGCCTTGAGCTGAAGAGCTGAGGGACAGTGCCCAGGCCCAGAGTTCAGGCCCCACAACCAGACCCTCCCCCCCCAAAAAAAAGAAGATTCTTTTTTAGACTTATGCATCCACAAAAATGTATCAGACTTCCATCAGGCAGGTAAACCCCCGTTCTGGCAAGGAACTCAGGTGACAAGACTTACCTGCACTGCCTTAAGTAGTCCTTGGACCGTCTGCAGCGGCAGGAAGGACAGATAGTCAAATGTCTCTGTGACTTTAGAAGAACAATTCTGAAGAACTAAGGGTGCATACAGGATGATATCTGAGAGCAAATCTGAAAAATAATCTATAATCAGCTGCTTCACATGGCCATAGACATTTACACTAAAATAGAGAAAAAGATGGCAAAACCTTTTCCTTTTCTAAAATAACTCATGCATACCACAAGTTTCTACTGAAATATTTTTTCTAATGTAACCAAGGTCTGTTAGCATTTTTTGTAATATTTCGAGAATAAAAATTGCCTAAGAGAAAAAAGCCATTACACCGTCTAGGCTGTCTTAACATTTCTAAGCTAATTGGGGAGGGTGTGGGAGGCTAGTCCTACAGCTTCGACTCAGGACCTGGGCGCTGTCCCTGAGCTCTTTTGCTTAAAGCCAAAGCTCTACCACTTGAGCTATAGTTCCACTTACAGTTTTTTGGTGGTTAACTGGAAGTAAGAGTCTCATGAACTTTTTTGCCCTGGTTGGCTTTGAACTATGATCCTCAGATCTCAGGGTTGCTGAACATCTAGAATTACAGGTGTGAACCACTGGTGCCTGGCTCAAAGCTATTTTTTGTAATGCAAGCCTATAGTCCTATTAGGATATATAAAAGCAAAACATGGGCCTCTAAAAATTTTAATGTTTAGTTGAAAGTAAAAAAAAAATTCAGAAGAATTAAAAAGTAACAATATGAAATATCTAAGAAGAAACTGTTCTAGATTTAAGTCTAAGAGCTGACTGAAACTATAAAACTTCTAGTAGAAACACAGGAGAAAATCTTAATGATGTTCGATTGGGCAGTTTTATGTTTTTTTTTTAATATTTGACACAAAAAGTAGGAACTATTAAAAAAAGAAATTGATACATTAAAAACATTTTTAGTAAGTAGAGCTGTGGCTAAAGTGGTAGAACACAAGCCTTGAGCAAAACAGCTCAGGGATAGCACCCAGGCCCTGAGTTCAAGCCCCAGATTGAAAAAAAGCAACCAGGAGGCTCCTAGCCTCTGAGTGCACACCGCAGATCCTGACTGTGGCCCCATGCCTACAGGTTCAGCCAACCTCAGGGAGAAAATACACAAAGAAATGCACTTCGCAGTTAAGCTATGGTCATGTCTGCACCCAATACCAAAGACTTCCCCCTTCTTGTCATTCCTACACGGTACAGGGTAACAACTATTTAGTAACAGGCACCATAAGCAATTTAAAGATGGTGTAAGGTATGTGGAAGGTTTTATAGGTAAATACCAGCATTTCATAAAGGCCCAGGAGCAGCTGCGGGTTTGGCTAACAAAAGGGCGAGGGCATCCTGGACCCATCTCTTCACGGTCCCCACTAAGAACACCCTTTCTCTGCTGGCTACACTGGCTCCCCAAGTGGGACCTCTATGTCTTACTGGCCTCAGAATCAGAGGCTCTACAGGACACACGGCTGCTCCAAACCATCATGGCGTTAGAAACAAAGATTCCCAGGACTTCTTCCATCTTCTCAAAGTTCAGTACCTAAGAAATGACTGATGGGAGAGGAGGCTCTGGTAATGACTCTGTTGAAAACTTGCTCCAGAATTTCTTGTCTGATTACCTCGTGGACCTGAAGGGAACAGAAGAGGTAGCATATCGCTGGGGCCCCCCCAGTTCGAAGGGCATCAGTGCATGTCAGGCAGGATATCAGCTGCACAGGGTGAAAATCAACAGCGGAGTCACAGACATGTCAGAATACAGTGTGGGCCCCTTGAAACAAACGTCACAACTCTGCCCTCACTCTGTGCTTCAATGAGTCAATGGGCAAGTAAATGTCAGACTGACACAGATTACATGAAATGCTAGTGACACCAAGATCAGGCATCGAATAAGGAACACTCTGCTGAGGTAACCCATTACATTCAACATTCACCTTTCTGTTAGTACCCAGAACTTTTATTCTAAAATCATTTATAATGAAAGCCATTGACCTCACAGTTCTGGATAAAGTGCCCAATGTATATTAAATCACCTCCAAGAAGCGGAGGTGTGGCTCAAGTGTTAAAGAGTGCCAGCCTTCAGCTAAAAACAAGCCAAGGGAAAATGCCCTGAGTTCTAGCACACATAAAAACTACCTTCAAATGACTTTTCTGGCAGACACTACCGGTACACAGATACATTAAACAACTGATCACCAGGAAGGTGAGAGACAGGACTCAGATGTTTAGCATCATGACCTAGCTTTTTGTTTTCTTTGAAAGGAAATGAACTTTAGAGAAAGCTGTTTCAGAAACCAAGGTTCAAGTGGCAATTACAATTTGAAAATAAGCAAAAAACTATAACCCTCCCAATTTGGGTTCTTAAAAAACAAACAAAAAAATCAAACCCATAAGCATAATTCTCAAGTCTGATATCCTACAACCACCACAATTGGATTTCAGGGTGAGAGAAATGTAGCTCAAATAAGATGCTTGCCTAGCAGACTCATTAGCCCTGAGTTCAATCTCCAGCACCACACACACACACAAAATAACAGTTGTGTAAGCAAATTCCATTAAAACAAGCAATTTATTGCTCGGATGGTTCAGCTTTTTACAATTATTTTTCTTCTAGGTCCTGGGTTTTTAACTCTGGGTCTCACATTTGCTCAGCTTCTTTTACTGCTAGAGCTCTACCACTTGGGCCATGCTCCAGCCTCTGAGAGCTAATCATGACTGGACTGAGAAATACCCACAATAGTAAAGCGCACTTTTGAGTCTCTCTGGGAGGATGGCTCTAGAATGACTGGCATGTGGGACAGCAACTAGGGAAAAGACTGCCCTGGATGGGGGTGGCACCATCCACTAGGCTGGACAGAGGGCTAGATGGACCAAAAGGGAAAGAATGCAGAAGCCCGCTGCACAGGCTGCACACACTGGCACTCTCACTCTGCCTCTGTGAGGTGAGATCCTCACTGTGCTCTACCACCTGGAAAGACTGCCCACACTCAGCACTGAACCTCCAAGGCCATAAGCCAAAAGGAATCTTTCCTTCTCAGTAGTTTCTTAGGCATTTGTCACAGTGATGGACAGCTATCACACACTGATGGAGAAGAAAACCACGGAAAAACCAATCCCCAGGACCTGGCCAGGAAAAAGAGCAGCAAGTGAAGTGAGAAGTCTCCAGAAGAGAGAAATATTCCAAACCAGATGTGCAGTGTTCCACCACCACCCAAGCACTGCCATACTACCCTCACATTTCCTTACCCACCATGCTTGCCCAACCACCAGGCCAATGTCCCGCAACAACCAGAATCTCACCTTGAACGTCTCCAGCAGGATACTGGCACCCAGCTCACAGGCATGCTGGCTTGGTGTTTTAGAAAGACTGGAGCTGGTCTCAACAGCTTTTCCATCAACTAGCTTCTTTGGGCCACATGAATCCATTAAAATAAAACCAAGTTTTACCAGGCCCTGAGTCACATGATCCCAACTATGAACACTGTAAGAGACAGAAGCTTGCTTAAAGAAGAGGAACTTGTGTGAGGAACTGACCTTACCCCTTCACACCTACAAGAATAACCCATGCCATAGTTCGTCGCTATCTCCAAGTCATAATGGCAGATCATGTTACACAGATACACCTGATGCTGGGGCCACATACCTGTAATCTTAGCTACTTGGGGAGGCCTCCCAAGTAAGGAGGATGGTGATGTGAGGCCAGTCTGGGTTTGTTAGACTCATTCTCAACCTAGCTGGGTGTGCCTGTCATCCCAGGAGCAGGCAGCTGGGATTGAGAGACTCAAAGTTCCAAGCCTTTAAGTAAAGTCCATGAAATCCCACCTTAAAAGAAGAGGCTGAGTGTGGTAGTATAATGCCTTTAGTAGCACCTATAACAGGAGGCCAAAAACAGAAGAAAAAAAGTCTCCCAGATGTTTCTGCCCAGGCTGTTTTCGAGCCCAAATCCACTGATCTCAGTCTCTTGTGTAGCTGGGATTACATGTGTGAGTCACTAGTGTTGAGCCCATATTGTATTTTCAAATGAAGGATCCCTTACACACTCTTGGGTCTCCTTTAATAACGCACCTATTCTTTACCACTTCCAAGATCATAGTTGAAATGCAAGTTCTTTGAGGAGCAAGGTTCTGAAGGAATTTTGAACTTTGGAGGAGCTGTAGATCCTTAAAGTTTCTCATGATCAAAGTCTTTAAAAGATCAAACACCTAATGAAAACCAAAGAAACAAGAAAATGAAGGAAAACTTATGCCTTGTGCTCCAAATCTTGACCCTGCTGCCATGAGTCGCCACCCACTAGCTAGAGACGACACAAAAAAATCATGACTTTCAGGGGGAATGTAGGAACTGAAAGCAGGCTTTCCTCAGCGAGAAAAGGGCTATTAGCCATACCAGGCATGATGGCTCATGCCTTATAATCCCAGCTCCCTGGAAAAGGCAAGCAGGTGGACCACAAGTCAAGGACAACCTTGGCAATGTAATAAGACTGCCCCTCAGAATTAAAAAGCAAAAAGGAGCGGAGTATGGCTCAAGAGTAGAATGCTTGCCTAGCAGCTGTGAGGCCATGGGCTCAATCTGTAGTATTAGGAGGAAAAGAATCACCAGTAATCTGGAATGCACATGGGGCGGGGGGATTTACATTTGCATTCTTTCAAGTTACCTATGCTCTGTAATTTCAATTCAACCTGGAACAATTTCTTAGAAAGCTCCAACACGATAAAACCGCAGCTGAGTCTCAACTGTCTCTCCTGCTGTTCTGGGCCCCAGAGCACGCTCCCGACTTATCCCCCGAGCCTTCTGGCTAATGGCACACAGGAAATGAAGATGCAAACCCAGTTTCTGAAGAAATCATCCAGTGGGCTGAGAACAGTGAGCTATGTGTTCTCGGCACCAGAAGGTCAGGATGAGATTGTCTAGAAAGTTGAGGGTGGGGTCTGGTGACGCAGCTCTGGAGGCCGAGGCCCGCTCCAGCTACATGGCAAGACTGCCTAAACCTAACAACATGGCAAAGTCCTGAACCCCAAACAAAACAAACCTCAACGGGTTCTGATACTAGCTTTGTTTTTGGTCCTGAGGCTTGAATGTGGGACCTAGGTGCGATCTGTCCCTGAGGTTTCTTTTGCTTGAGGCTGATGCTCTACCACTTGAGCCACTGCTCTGCTTCTAGCTTTTTGGTGGTTAACTAGCAGTAATGTTTCATAAATTTTCCTCCTGCCCAAGCTGGCTTTGAAGCTAGATCCTTGATCTCAGCCTCTCGAGTAGCTTACAGGCATGAGCAGCCAGCGTGCGGCAGGTTTTTATGCTCTTTCCCTTTTTCTTACCAACTGTGGAAGGAGCCAAGCTGTCAGAGAACATTACCTGTTCCTCAAAGCGCTGTATTCCTGTTACAGAGAGAAGAAGAGCCACACTGAAAGGACACAAGTATTTACTGGGATCTCCTTGCTGTCCTGCCTAGAACAGAGAAACCAAAGGGGAGTTACTGCTTACACATAGCTTACTTCAAAACTGGTCCCAGACTCATCTGATCAGAAACCTAAATGTAGAAACTCAAACTATAAAACTTTTAGCAGAAAATACACCCAAAAATATCTTTAAGCCTAAGTGTGGGTTTCTTAGTTATAATGACTTATAAAAAAAATGAACAGAAGATGTGAACAGACATTTCATCAAAAATATTAGGAGAGCTAATAAATATATGAAAAGACACTCTAATGCTGGACAAGGGTATCTCTAGGTGAGGAACACTGCCAGTCATTACCTTTGCTTGTTTCAGAAGTTCTCTGCCTAGCTCAGAGTCCAACTTGATGGCAAACACAATGTGGAGGATAATGGTGCCTTCCACGTGGCGAAGCTCACCTGACGGCACGGTAACAAGATCCAGCAGCCTGCCGGAGTCAAGGAGAAGCTGCAGTTATCCAAGTGGAGGTGTTTGCTGACCAACAAATAGACGCAAGCTCAACTTGCACTGATATACAATAGGAGCTGCCTCACTCTGCTCCTTTTACAACAAAACTCGTTGAAAGAACTCCAATAGCCATTGTTTCTGCTGCTTTTATTCTTTGCTGAGTCCAACCTAAGTCAACCTGGCTTCATCCCTTCCTATTCTAACCTCCCAATGCTGGACTAGTCTTGCAAGGTGATGAATGATCTCAGGCTGCCTAACCATTAGTAGGGAGGGGAGAGGGGGGAAAAGGAAAAGAGAGGAGGGAGGGGAGAAAGGAAAGGGGAGGGGAAAGCTACAGAAGTTCTACACTGGAGTGAATGAGTGGGTGGAAGGGAAGATGCCAATAAGTGGCTAAAACACAGTAAGAAGAACCTACAAGCCATTTTTGGCACCTGAGCCCTGACACTCACTCATCACCACTTTGATCCTCACTGTGCTGCTTATCCAGATCGCGGAAGAACGACACGATTCCTTCTAGAACAGTCTTTCTGCTTCCCTGGAGAAAAACCAAAATAGGTAAGCACTCTCAATTAAAGGCAAAACAACAGTGAGTCCAGTACTTTTCAACAAAAAGAATTATCAGGAATGGATTTAATAAGCTACAATGGGGGAGTCACAACATGTAAAACGCTTTCATCATGGTTTGAAATACTCAGTCCTGGACTTGAAGGGGCCTCTAGTTCACCCTTTGTGAGATCGAGAAAATATGCTATGAGGGAGAACCAGGAGAAGTATAAACAGGTTGACTGTAACAGGTGAACTGCTAACACAAGACCCTATTTGAACTATAACCCATGAGCAAAAAGGGTTACAGGTGTGGAGGAGGGAAGGGACAAAACTGAATGTCTGTAACTAGTCAGTCATCCCACAGAAATGAAGGATTAATTTATCATTTGTACCTTCGAGGAGAGAACTAGAAGCTGATAGACCAAAGGTGGTATTTCTTGAAGATTCAACATGGACAGCATCTTCAACACTTTGTCCACCACAAACTCTACCTCTTCCGCAGTCAGAGGGATGTCCCTGTGGGGCACAGTTCTAAAGTCCATCCAGGGCCCAATGGCCTTGGCTTACGAGATCTGATGCAGGGTTTTACAACAGTTAAAATTATATCAAACATTTTTTAGGAAATATAATTTGTGAGTAGGAAATAAAGTAGGTATTGGACTATTTTGTCTGTTCTTTTTCTTGTATGAAAAAAATCTTTAAGAAATCAAAAATCTTTGAACTTTACAACTTTGGTGGGGGGAGGATCAAGGAGGGGGAGGGAGTATGGGGAGGGGAAACAAAGAGGAGGCAACAATGCTGGATAAGAAATGTACTTGTGGGGGGCTGGGAAGGTGGCTCAGTGGTAGAGCTCTTGCCTTGCATGCCTGAGGCCCTGGGTTTGATTCCTCAGCACCACATAAGCAAAAAGAAAAAAGCCGGAAGTGGTGCTGTGGCTCAAGTGGTAGAGCGCTATCCTTGAGCTGAAGAGCTGAGGGACAGCGCCCAGGCCCAGAGTTCAGGCCCACGACCGGACCCCCCCCCAAAAAAAGAAATGTACTTGTGGGGCTGGGAAGGTGGCTCAGTGGTAGAGCTCTTGCCTTACATGCATGAGGCCCTGGGTTCAATTCCTCAGCACGACATAAGCAAAAAGAAAAAAGCCGGAAGTGGCGCTGTGGCTCAAATGGTAGAGCACTAGCCTTGAGCAAAAAAAAAAAAAAGTACTTGTCTTGCCCATGTAATTCTAACTCCTCTGTACGGTATTCTCACAGTAAAAAAAAAAATCTTGGGGGGAGAGGGGAGGCTGGGAAGGGATGTGAAGGGTAAACAAAAGGAGGAGGCTGCAATGCTTGGTAAGAAATGTACGCATTATCCTGCCCATGTAATTGTAACCTCTCTGTACAGTATCTTCACAAAAAAAAAAAAAAAAAAAAAAGAAACCACTGGTAGCTCAGGCCTATAATCTTAGCTACTCAAAAGGCTGAGATTGGAGTACTAAGGTTTAAAGCCAGCCCAGGTAGGAAAGTCTGTGAGACTCTCATCACGTTTAAAATTAACCACCCAGGGCTGGGAAGGTGGTTCAGTGGTATAGTGCTTGCCTTGCATGCATGAGGTCCTGGGTTCAGATTCCTCAGTACCACATAAGCAGAAAAGGCTAGAAGTAGCTCTGTGGCTCAAGTGGTAGAGGGGCTAGCCTTGAGCTGAAGAGCTGAGGGACAGCGCCCAGGCCGAGTTCAGGCCTCAAGCCAGGAAAAAAAAAAAAAATTAACTACCCAAAAGCTGGAAGTGGATAGTTCCCTGACCCTGAGTTCAAGCTCCAGTGCCTTGTGTGTGCGTGTACACATACATATACAAACAATGACCTAAGAAAAATGATCTTGGAAACGGGAAGGAACTCCCGAAGAGAAAAGATATCTAAATGTGCTGTTTTAGTGTCTAGAAGGAAGGTTCCTAAAACAAGCTGGAAGAGAAACGGAGAACAAGGCTTACTTGAACATTGAGGTGAGCTGGATTACATACTGTTGATCCCATCTGGTTAAAGACAAATAGGAGAAAATGGGTTTATTTCATTTTAATTTGTTTATAGGCAAGTTCATAAACCCAGTAAGGAGGGGAAAAAAATGAGTAGTTTCAAATTTGGTTTTGCAGAACTAAGCAACAAATAAAACATACACCACTTAAAATAACAAACAAGATAAAACAAATGCCATTTAAAAATAACAATCAGAACACAGGTGTTGGTATCTCAGGTTTGTTATCCTAGCTACACAGGAGGCTGAGACCTGAGGATCTCCATTCAAAACCAGCCCAGGCAGGAAAGTCCGTGAGACTCTTTATCTCTAATTAAGCACCAATAAAGCTGGAAGTAAAGCTGTGGATCAAGTGGTAGGGTGCTAGCCTTGAGAAAAAACAGTTCAGACAGCATCCAGACCCTGAATTCAAGCCCCAATGCTGGGCTTCCAACTCTGGGCCTGGGCACTGTCCCTCAACTCTTCAGCTCAAGGCAAGCACTCTACCACTTAAGTCACAGCGCCACTTCCAGCTTTTTCTGCTTGGTGCTGAGGAATGGAACCCAGGGCCTCACGCATGCAAGGCCAAGCACTCTATCACTGAGCCAACTTCCCAGCCCTCCTTATCAATTTTTAAAATGCACATAAGAGACACTCACAATTACTATTTGTTATTAAATATATCACATCTGTATATTTGTAAGTTTATTTAGACATATAAAGAACTCTGTCACAGCACTTTAAAGTCCGTCATGGGGCTTGAACTGAGGGCTTTAGGCAGTTGTCCCTGAGATCTTTCGTTCAAGACTAGCATTCTACCACTTTAAGCTACAGATCGACTTCCAGTTTCCTGGTGGTTTATTGAAATAAGAGTCTCATGGACTTTCCTGCCCAGGCTGGCTTTGAACCACAATCCTCAGATCTCATGAGGCTTCCTGAGTAGCTAGAATTATAGGCATGAGCTACCAGCACTGGCTGCAGTGCTTTTTAAGAGTAAACTGTTAGGGGGCTGGGAAGGTGGCTCAGTGGTAGAGCGCTTGCCTTGCATGCCTGAGGCTCTGGGTTCGATTCCTTAGCACTACATAAGCAAAAAGAAAAAAGCCAGAAGTGGCGCTGTGGCTCAAGTGGTAAAGCGCTAGCCTTGAGCTGAAGAGCTGAGGGACAGCGCCCAGGCCTAGAGTTTAGGCTCCAAGACCGGACCCCCCCCAAAAAAAGAGTAAACTGTTAGAACAAAGGATAGTTGGTACATACCTGCAGTCCCAGAACTTGAGAGGCTCAGGTTACAGAGCCAAGACTGTCTCAGAAAGAATGAACAGGAGAGGGGAGTAATAGGAGGAAGGGAGTAGGAAGTGGCAGGAGGACATATGCCTATCCTAAGAACCTTAGGACACCAAACCATGATTAGTGGACTACACTGTTACAGTAAGGTTGTCAAAAAGGCTTATAAAAGAATGCAGTGAATCATCATTCTTGAAAATTCACTGCAGCATAAATGGGTTTTATAAATAACAAAAAATGGAATACAAATGTTGCAAGTACAAATCCTAGAAATAAATGCTAGTTCTTCTGTCCCGAGAAAGTTGTACCCCAAATGGAGAGACTCACCTGCCAGAACAGAGAGTGTTAATCAACTGCTTCTTACATTCTTCCCCACTCAATTCGCCTGGAAATGCAAACCACACAGAAAATTCAGTCTGCTCACGCTTTTTCATGAGAAAAAGCCACTAAATATGGGAAGAAAACTACCTGTCCCGTGAGTCAGATTTTCCTTTTTGGTAGACAATGCCACCAAAATGATAGGCAACAACTCCAAGGACTTTCCATTCACTAGACTGCCGTCTTTGATCATGCCAACATACTCATTGGCTAATTCAACCAGTAATGGTCCTGGAAAATGGTGCGCCTAAAAGTTCATGAAATAAAAGAAAATCAGAAGCAGTCATCCGATGTTTAAAAATCATGTTTAGCGGAAATAACAGGATTGATGCTGAGGCTCAGAACTGGCCCTAGGAGGAATACATGGGGAACAGGCTGTCACATTACAGTCATTACCATATATGACTTCAACCTTCTCCATCAGTTCTTCAAGGCTTATACCCATTCTTCTGTTCTTTTTTGTATTTTTTTGGTTAGTCCTAGGGCTTGAACATGGGATGCTGTTCCTGAGCTCTTTTGCTCAAGGCTAGCACTCTAGCTCTTTGAGCCATACTTCTACTTCCAGTTTTTGAATGGTTCACTGGAGGTAAATGTCTCATGGGGATTCTTCCTGCCTGGGCTGGCTTCCAACCACGATCCATAGATCTCAGCCTTCTCAGTAGCTAGGATTATAGGCCTGAGCCCACTGGTTCCTGGCTCGCTCTTCTGTTCTTTAACAACAGCTCTTATTCATATGTGTAAGTATTTAGGGTGCTGGCAGCTCAAGCCTATAATCCAAGCTACACAGCAGGCTGAGATCTGAGGGTTGTGGTTGAAAAGCCCAGGCAGAAAAGTCTGTGAGATTCTTATCTCCAATTAACCACCAGAAAACCAGAAGTGGTGCTGTGGCTCAAAGTGGTAGAACACTAGTTTTGAGCAGAAAAAAACTTCAGGGACAGTGTCCAGGCCCTGAGCTCAAGACCCATAACAAACAACAAAAAATGTTTGGCTGGGAAGGTGGCTCAGTGGTAGAGTGCTTGCCTTGCATGCATGAGGCCCTGGGTTCGATTCCTTAGTACCATATAAGCAGAAAAATAAAAAGCCAGAAATGGCGCTGTGGCTCAAGTGTTAAGGTGCTAGCCTTGAGGTGAGGAGCTGAGGAACAGCGCCCAGGCCCAGAGTTCAGGCCCACAACCTGACCCAAAACAAACAAACAAACAAAAAATGTTTGGCACTTACTTTTCCTTCTCTCAACAAATAACCAACCCCCAATCTACCGCAAAACAAATTAAGTTTAGTCTTGCATTATTACCTCCAGCATTAGGGATCCTATGAGCTCAGATGCTACTTGTTTCGGTAAATCTCCTGATTCGACCAACTGGATACAGTAAGTATAAATCTTCCGTCTCCTAAGGGCGCCATCCTCCTCAGAGCAGGGAGAGCCTTGTTTTAAACAGACAGTACAGAACAGAATAAAGAAAAAAGAAGTCTTACGAGGCTGAAGGATAGTCAGAAAAGCCAAACATTTATAGTTGAATAGAGAAACTGAATTCTTCTCAAGTGGTAGAGTGCTCACCTTGAGTTGAGGAGCTGAGGGACAGCGCCCAGGCCCAAAGTTCAAGACTAACAACAAACAAAGCTACATAAAGAAACTGAATTCTTAAGGGACCGATTACTGATGCTTAAGAGCAGCAATATAGAAGGGGCTTTGAAAAAAGAGTGTCATTTAGCCAAATAGAAGACCAAAGCATCATCAGGCTCTGCTTGCTCATTTATTTTGGTAATTAGACAGCACAGAAGAAAAACCTCATACTATATCTTTTATTTGGGGAGAGTGGAATTCAGTGACCCAAAGTAAATGTCTTTAACATACTTTATTTCAAAACACCATCATCCAACTCCCCCCCCAGCCCACCCAGTGCTATCCACAGAGCAATAAGGATGTATTTCTCTTTAATAAAAGGTAAAAACTCTGGCAAAGACAACTAAAATCAACTTGTTCAGACCTCTGGAAGTTAGCCACAGACTTCCAACAAGCTGGAGAGTATCTACTGAAGAAAACTGCTGAATCCATATTAACACATTTATCCTAATTCCATCCCTGGCCTAGTAATCCTGAAAAATGCTAAGGCACTACATATTACATGACGGTACCTATCATGTTCATAGAATGGAATACTCCAAGACCAATCTTTTCAATCTCATACAGAGTCCACACCACCGCCTCTCCCCCCACCCCCCACAGGAAGCGATGTTTTGCTTTTTTTTTTGCTGATCGTAGGGTGTGACCTCAGGGACTGGACACTGTCCCTGACTTTTTTTGTTGCTGTTGGTCATGGGGCTAGAACTCTGGGTCTGGGTGCTGTCCCTCAGTTCTCCAGCTCAAGATGAGTACTCTACCACTTAAGCCACTTCCAGTTTTCTGGTGATTAACTGGAGGTAAGGGTCTCACAGACTTTCCTGCCAAGGCTGGCTTTGAAGCATGATCCTCAGATCTCAGCCTCTTGAGTAGCTAGGATTACAAGCATGAGCCACTGGCACCTAGCATCCCTGAACTTTTGTGCTTGAGACTAGCTCTAGTCTAGTGCTCTAACACTTGAGCTACTGCTCCACTTCCAGCTTTATGAAGGCAGTTAATTGGAGATAAGAGAGTGCACCACCAGCACTGTGCTGATGAGCTTATCTTAAAAAAATACATGGAAACATTAAAGACCACCATACACAAACAATCCTGAAAGATGCCATTTTGTACCACAAAGCTATAGGTGACTATGGACTGGACGTAGGGACAGACAGACAGACAAAAGGACAGAACTGAGAGCCCAGGAATAAACCTTCCTGTTCACACACAAGTGATTTTTCTCTTTTTTTGTTGGCCGTAGGGCTTGAGCTTAGGGTGCTATCCCTGAGCTCATTTGCTCAAGGCTAGCATTCTACCACTTAAGCCACAGTGCCACTTCTGGTTTTCTGGTGGTTAATTAGAGATGAGTCTCACAGACTTTCATGCCTGGGCTGGTTTGAGGCGTGATCCTCAGATCTCAGCCTCCTGAGTAGCTAGGATGACAGGGTGTGAACCACTAGCACCTGGCTAGCTACTGATTTTTCTAAGATGTCAAGTGGGGAGAAGAAAGAAGTTTGTCTACTTTTTTTCCATCAGTTATCTGACCAAGTCCAAAACAAGAGATACACTAAGTGGGGCGTGACAGGACTACTCACTCATAATAGAATCCTAGGACTCAGGGAGGCAGGAAGACTACAAATTTAAGGCCAGCCTGGGCTATGTAATAGACCCTGTGTCTGAAGAGCAAACAGAACACTCTGAGAACACAGGTCTCAATCTTCACGGTCTTCCATGAGGCCTCTGCATATAAGGCACTCACAATATTCCACCTCCTTCAATCCCAGAGCTTCCCAGCCCAAAGACAAACAGATGATGTGCTGAACAAGTCCGCTCTCTTCCTCACAGGTTTTAGGAAAAGCACCTCCCTTACAGCCTCCACAATGGAAAAGATCCTCTCAAGGAGCCATGCCAACTCTTTTCAGTAAGATACTCAAAAATCTCTTAAGAGTTTTTTAAATGTTTAATATTAAATATAAGGCGACTGCTTCTTCAGTTGGTTGTGTAGAATTCCCCCAAACAAAACAATGTTCCTATGGGACTTCAAATACTAAGAAAAGCAGCACATGCCAAAAGCACCCAAACCAACACACCAAAGAAAAACTGTTACCTTTGAAGATGGCTCTCACCAGGGCTCCAGCAGCTTTGCCTGTCACTGCTTGATTCTGAAGGAGATTAGTCAACTGCAATCAGAGAAGCAAACACTGTACGGCTTTGCTCACAGTTCCTTTAACTGATCAACCTAAACACTTAAAAGGAGAAAGCAGCAGGGTGCTGGAGGCTCTTGCCGGTAATACTTAGCTACTTAAGAGGATGAGATCTGAGGATTGAGGTTCAGAGCTAGACCAGGCTTTAAAATCTGTGACACTTATCTCTAATTAGCTACCCAAAAACACCAGAAGTGGAGCTGTGGCTCAAGCAGCACCAAAAGATCATGTACAACCTTTTAAGCCCTGATTTCAAACCCTCGGTCAAAAACAAATATCACAAACAAATACTTTTTTTTTTTCTTTTCTGTCAGTCATGGGGCTTGAAGTCAGGGCCTGGGCAGGTCCCTGAGCTCTTTTGCTCAAGCCTAGCACTCTACCACTTTGCATCACAGTGCCACTTCATGTTTTCTGACAGTTAATTAGAGATAAAGATCTCATAGACTTTCCTACCTGGGCTGGCTTTGAACTGGAGGAGGACTGGTGAAGAGAGGTAGCAGCAGAGACACGCAGGGGCCCTACACGTCCCGGCTTGTCAATCATGTTCCTCTTCTGCAGACTACGTACTCACCTCATCCTCTCTCAGGGTTTTAAGAAACTCCTGCAGTTTATCTGCTGTTTTACTGGTTGCCAGAGATAAAATTTTCTGGTCCATGGTTGCTCATATCAGGGAACTAGAAGAAGAAGAAAAAAATACGTCAGGGATGAATAAAGCTTTCCAAGTAATTACAAGCTTTGCTGCTCCCCTCTTGGCTATCCGAGTACTTCACACTTGATACAAAAAGTTCACTTTGTTCTGACTCCTTACACACAGCCCGGACCAGCCGTGATTAAAAAAACGAAACCGAACAGGCGCACGAGGGAGCTGTGGGATTCAGAGATGAGCAGGCTTCCCCTAGGTCAGAAGGCTGATGGGCAACCGCACTG